CTGGCCCACATAGTGAGTTCAAGGCCAGTGTGGACTACATAACGAGACCCTGTGTCCAAAGACAGAAATAAAGAAGGAAAGAAGAGATGAAGAGAGGGAAGCAGGAGGAGAAAGACAGGAAGGGCAGGGAATAGAAAAAAGAATTATGTATTTACTAACTTCCCACAAAAAATGTAAACATTGTACACTGCAAACGTGGAAAAAAAAGTTTGTGGTGACAGCTGTATCTTCTAAATAGAAATAGGCTATGATAAGGATATAGAAAAAAGACAGTGCATCACCATGAAGAAGGTGGAAATTGATTTTTGAAGGATATTATAAGGCTTTGTGGTCACAGGGTCACAATACACAGATACACAGTATATCTGTAGTATTAAAATTCCAGAAAAACAGGAAGATCACTCTGAGTTCATGGCCAGCCTGGACTACATAGCAAGTTCAAGATCAGTCTGAATTACATATCAAAACTCTGTCTCAAAAAGCCAAAAATAATAATTAAATTTCATAGAGAAGTACACAATGAGAGGTCTCAAAATTTAATAATAAATAAAATGTTGACAAAGACCTGATCAGATGAAACAACAGGCTGACCTAGTAGTAGCATGTGGATAGCAGCTTTGGGAACAGTATATGGTCACAGGATAACCAATTTGTCCCAGTTTGCCCTAGACTTTGCTAGACTGGGCATTCAAAATTTCACACCTGCGAAATCTCCTATCATAGGAAAACTAGAAAGATTATTCACCTTTCTCATGGGAGAAATCTAAAAAGACATTTGCATTTCACAAATGAAGTGACATCAAGAAACACAGGAACTGTCACAAAGGTTTCACAGCATTTCAGCAGTATTCCTGCAATAAGATTGGCATTTTCCATTTGCTTATCCGCCATGTAGTCAAAGCTCTCTGCATTTGACCTCCAAGGCCATGGCACACAATGTTACACATACATTGATTATGTATCAATGCCCCTTCCTTTTCAACAACAAATCTAAAGTTAACATTAACAAGATGAAGCTAGGCTCAGCTAGCCAGCTAGCACAAGCATATACTATAGATAGGCTATCCAGGAAAACCTGAAGAAAACAGAAGTCTGGGCCAAACACAGATGTCACTACTGGATTCTCCCTATCTGCAGGGTAGCAAATCGTACAAGTGGGAATTCCAGGTACAAAATCCTCACAGGCTGGGGATGTAGCTCAATTAGTAAAGGCCTTGTGCAAGGCCCTGAGTTCCAAACCCAGTACTGCAAAAGCAAACAAAACCTCCAAAACAAAGAAAAAAAACCCACAAAACAAAAAGTCAGGAATAGTTCTAGGATTCTCCATGTGTCTAACCAGCTTGAATCTTTTACAAGATTTTGTCCCAAAGAAAAACTCAGGTATTAATGGTAAGAATTTACCCAGTCTCATCTGAATGGCAACAGGCTCTTCTCTTCCCCTATTCAGCAGAAAAATCTTTGGTGAATATAAATGAAGAAAAGAAAAAAGTAGGATATTCCCTCTTTATAGACCATATTTAATTAAATGCAAAATTCTCTGTTGTAGAAAACTGAGGCTTACAGCTTACTGCCTCTTCAGAAGGATAAAGTATTCATCCTCACTCAGAAAGAGAAAAGATTAGCTCTTTTCTCAAGGATGGGTTTCCAAACTGACACCAAATCTAGGAGTTAAGAGAAGTCTGTGCTGCAGAACATGATCTACATATCAGCTGGGGCCCCAGAGAAAAATCCCTAGGAATATATGGCCAAGAGCTAACAATGTAAGAATGGTCAAATTAACTCTCCTGAAAATAAGCTTATTCCAAGAAACTGGCAGAGGACTTCCAGGAAGATGGCCAAGTGGTAAGCAACAGAGAAAACAGCCTGAGAGTCACTGTCTAGACTCTCGAATATGGCATTGTGAGGAAGACAAGAAGGAAGGAAATAGGTCCCCCGGACCCAGGAAGAATCTGAAGTGTGAACTGAAGCCCACGGAGAGAGCAAAAAGGAAAAACTTCAAGGCAGAAGGTGCTAGTCGGCTGCACCTACACCCTCACGTGGGACTCAGCACAAGAGTTGTCGCTTGAACCTGTGGATGCACAGTCATGGTAATGGCTGGCAACCCCAGAGGCCTCTGCAGAGAGAGGCAGCAGTGGACAGGAGCAATGGACATGGAGGACTGCACTGGCTGGTGGTGAGTGCAGAGGACTTAGTCCTCCAGAGAAACCGCTGAGCTGGGAGCCATTTTGGAGATGGGACAGATAAGCCCAGAACCCAGAACTGCTACTGGCTTCCTCCAGCAGCTCCCAGCTGGGTGCAGACCCATGGAAATTGCTTGGACTGTGGCAAGCCCAATGAGTCTGTTTTCAAAGCAGGCCTGCTGAGGGTATCCACTATTCTGCCATACAGCAACTGCTGGCTTGTGGGACAGATCAGCACAATTCAGGACTCTTTCTCCACAGGCTGTCTACTAGTGAAATCAAAGAGAATCCTGAAAGTGGACTATTTGTTTTTCTTTTTCAGTTTTATTTTTGTTTTTTTCTTTTCTCTTTCTCCTTCATTGTTTATATGAGTGTGAAAATGGTTCCTAACCTCTTGTGGGTGTGGTTCGGTTCTGTTCTTCCTTTTATCTCTTTAATCCTCTTTTCCTTCAGTCCTCTGTACCAGTTCCCCCAAGTTGGCATGATCCCCCTTTGTCCTCCAATCTTATTTCTAATCTCTTTCTTTTCTTCCACTTCTCTATTTTCTCCTTAATCCATTTAAAATTTTAACTCCGGGGGCAAAACTGACACATTACAGACTTATATACCGCATAAATTATCTGGTTTAACATTTGGATACATAATCACAAATCTAGTTTATATGGTTAAAACTTGCAAATTAAGGATTAGCTCAGTTTATTGTTTTTTAGGCTGTGTTTGATGCTATTGGTACTACTATAGCCAAAATTGGCAAAATTGTTCTAAACAGCTGTTGGCCCTGATAATCCATAACTGAGATGGGCCAAATCAGAGACTAGGCCAAATGAACAACTTCTCATCTCCAACAAACTGAAGAGGTAAGATCTTCTAACAGACTCTAAACCCAAAAGCCAGCTATACCTGGAAGATATCTCAGAGAAGTAATCACCGAGAGGTCCTAAATACGACCAATAAAGCAACCCACAATAAGCAACAAGCATCACCCAAGGAATTAAACTAAAAAAAAAAGAAAAGAAAATGAGAAAAGACACTTAAGCAAAATGCATCCTCAGACATCCACTTCACCAAAGGCAAATACAAGGGGCAATGAGGTGGGACAATCCAAAAGCCTCCCACCAGGTCTCTCTGAAGTAGGCAAAATAAAGCAATTGAATGAGGCTCTGGAAAAAATGAAATCAGAAATAATCTCAAAAACCAACAGGAATGAGGTACAGAAAAAACATCAAAGTATCAGCCAATTTTTCATTCCCAGCCTACCACGTCTGCTAATATATTTCACATTTTCATCATCTGTAAAATGGAGGGTCTTTTCTATTGCCGATCATCAGAACAGCATATGTATTAATTAGCAGATTAAATCCATTGAACATCTGAAAGACAATATAAATCTGGTGTGACACCATCTTAAAAGTCCAAGGGCTATGTCTTCAGCTGAAACCACAGACCAAGTTCCGACTCTGTTATGCAAACATCAGTGCCAGTATAACACTCTGGGCTCCATTAAAATTCATCCAGTCCCCAAATCTAGCTCTACTTTTCACAGAAAAGTTTGTGGTACCATGAGAAAAAAAAACAAAACAAAACAAACAAACAAAAAAAACACCTCAAACCAAAAATAAATCTTTAATCCTATCAAAACGAATATTGTTACTATTTGTAAACATCAGTTTCTTCTCAACATGGAGAGTGTGTTTTAACCTATCTAGTCTAGGTTAATCCAACTCTTGCATCCCTCAAAGCGATTTGCAGGGGGGAATTTATACTTTGTTTCACTGAGGTGAGAAAGCCCACTAAGCTTTTATCTAATTCTATTTTAGAATGTATATTAGAAAACTGATTTCATATATGCATATGAGTTCTCTATCTGTATCTATAGCTATATATATATATATATATATATATATATATATAATAAACATTAAACAGTCCTTTAGCTCCTACAGTGCAAAAGCCCCATAGGCTCCTAGGATGTTAGGTGTTTCCTAATTCCTGGCCTTTCCAATGGAGACCCATTTCAGGGGCTCATGTCATTTTCTCCTGTCTTTTGAAGCAGATTCTTAAAATCACGGATTCCAGAATCAGCCAGGGGTTTAGCTCAGCGGCATAAACGTGTGCTTGGCAAACGCGAGGTCATCAGTTCGATCCCCCCCACTCCCCAAAAAAGAGATTCCAGAATCACCTGAATGTGATCTACCCGGGCTGGGGACTGCACGTGTCCATGCATCACCTTATCAGAAGTTTCTGGAGAATAAAGCCTAGGAATATGCACAAATTCCCTTGGCGACTGGAGGCACACCGAAGCCTGTAAAGTCTAAGCTAAGGCCAAGTCTACCATCTGTCAGGACAGTGGGAAACGCACAATGGGAGAGTAAGGAGCAATCATCACATGATGAAGAATTAGAAACCTCTTCCAAGAACCGAAATGTCAACACTGAAGGAGTCTCTGAGATAAACACCAAATCCACTCCTTTGGACAAGATACAAAAAACAGAGAGAAAGGGAATAGGTACGGAAACTACAACGGCCGAGGACAGACTAAGAGGATACTATAACAGCCAGTCTCGGCCTCCCACTGCCGCATCCGATGGCTTGAAAGGATTACAAGAGACGTTTTGACTGGGATGGCCAGAGAACATGGCCCTCGGACTGACAACCGAGCGCCACTTGAGTGGACGTCCCGCTGTCGAGACAGTACAGTGGGATACGATGGGACCCCGGCACACTGCAGGGAAGGCACCGGGCCGCTGGAGGGAGGAGGCCAGCGCAGCTCCCTCACACCCCAGCCCAGCTCCAGGCCCGGGCGGCCCTCACAGCCCCTACCTTCGGCTTCCCGCAATACAGCCGAGGGGCAGACACAACCCCCACAATTCCACGCGGCCGCAGCTACAACCAGCTCCGGTGCGCAAAAGCGCCAGCGACCGTCAGAACCCGCGAACGCATAGTTATTACGTCACTCACAGCCTCGCCCATTGTAGCCGCTCAGGACTGTGAGGCGGCCGCAGTGCCACCCGGAAGAGAGGGAGGCCCCGCCTCCCTGGGCCTGGTAAGCCCCGCCCACTGGCCCTGTCTGGTCCTCTAGCGTTTTTTTGCATTCTTTCCACAGCTGATTTTCTTTGTGTTCTTTTCCCAGAGTGAAACATGTCTGTAAGTGATAGCCACAGACCTGGTTTGTTTCCAAACTAAGACTTCAAAGTTTTCTCATGTCAACAATCTAATTTTCTAGCGGAAGGATCCTCAAAAAGAAAATCAAAGTGGGTGGAAGGTAAAACTAAATCAAGCTGTTATGACTCAGTTTGTGACAGAAACCGAATCTCAAGCAATAAATAGTCCTTTGAAAATTCATGCAAAACAAGCCAACTGTAAGTCATTCGCTTTACGTAATTGTAGATGGTGTAAATTTTTGAAAACAATCAATTATTTTAAAAATATCGTCTCCGCCTGGCAAACGCGGGGTTGTGAGTTCGATCTCCGGTACCAAAAAAATAAATAACGTCACCTGTAGTTCTAATTCCCCTCTGCCACTAAATGTTGTGTGTTAAATACTGCACGTACATTTTCTTCCCATAATTTCTGCTGTCGCCTCTTACAAATGGAGAGGCTGAGACTCAAAGAAGTTGAAGAATTTAGACAAAAGCATGCAGAGAGTAGTAGAACTGGCATTTCAAACTTGATTTGGTTGCCTCCCAAGTCTTGTCTTTCCACCATACTGGCAGACCTTCCCCTTATCTAGACATCCTAAATCTGACATGGAAAATGGACTCCTCTGAACTGTCCTCAAATTCCACTTATTGTCACTCGCAGCCTTCAGAGTAGAGAAAAGGATAATCCGAACCAGCAATGTCCCCAAATGCCACGCATTCCCCCCAAGAGCCAAGAGTCAATCTATGGAGTTTTTTCTTTTCATACATTATGTGAGCTTCCAGCAGTCAGTTTACCTTATTGGTTATGTTTACTTCCAGCAGGTAGGAGACTGACTTCAAAACCACTGGGTAAAACTCGATTAGTAGCTTGGGGAGAAAGAACAAGCTCCTGGCAACAGTTGCATTGGTAGTGCCAGTTTATGAGAAAGGTCTATAAAAAACACTTGCCTGGGTACAGGGTAGGAAAGGACAGGGATCAGCTCACTTTCCTATAGCACTCTTATGAGACCAATGAGAAATGCTTGGCCCAGAAATCATTCCAGCATGTGTAACTGTCTAGTACAGTCCCTGACTCACAAAGTGGTTACATTCCTATAAACTTTCTCATTGAAAATACTATCAATCAAAACCGCATTTAATATACCTGCCATAACACACACACACACACACACACACTCTAGAATACTGTTTTTATTCCTGATTGTATGGCTGGCTGAGAGCTGGCTGACACTACCCACCATCTCAAGGGAGTGTCTTACCAAATTTTGCTAGCCTGGGAAAGGATCTAATTTCAAAGTAAAGATTCTGCTGAATTGGGCTGGGGATTTAGCTCAGCAGCACAAGCACATGACTGGAAAGTGTGAGGTCTTGCATTCGATCCCCAGTACCAAAAAAAAAAAAAAAAAAAAAAAAAAGATTCTACTGAATTGCACTTTTATATCATAAAATCAAAAAAACTCCAGTTTAAGTCAGGGACTATCATATAGACAAGTAATGTTGAACAAGTATCTGTTGTATGAATGGTAGGTTACAGAATGAACATATAAATTACGATCAAACCTGAAACACATTATAAAAAAATTAATAAAGTTCTTTAAAACCAAGCATGGTAGCACATGCCTATAATCCAAGAACTCTAGGAGGCTGAGGCAGGAGTATCAAAAATTTGAACCTGTTCTGGGAAACCTAGCAACTTACTGAGACCCTGTCTCAAGAAAAAATTAAAGGAGTAAGAAGGTAGCTTAATATAAAGGCTCTGAGTTCAAACCCCAGTACCGCAAAAATAAATAACTAGTGCTGTAAGCATAACATCCTTGGAGCCAGACATGATAGCACACACTTATAATCATAGCACCAAGGAAGCTGAGACAGGGCTGGGAGTTTAGCTCAATGATGAAAGTGCCTGCTTGACAAGCATAAGGTCATGAGTTCAATCCCCAGTACCAAAAAAAAGGAGACTGACACAGAGAATTGCTAAGAGTTGGAGACCAACCTAGGTTGCATAATGAGTTCAAAGTCAGCCTGAACTACATAGTGAGACCCTGTCCCATTTAAAAAATAAATAAATAATATCCTTAAAGATAGAATGTGCTCAAAATTTAGAATTAATTAAATGATTGCTTGCATCAAGAGGATGTCAAACTGGACACTGAACCACCAGAATGCAAAGAGGCCTGGTTTCTCCCTTGACACAGATCTAAGCCTCTCAAGGTATTTGGGGAAGACATAATCTATGCCCCCATTCCCTAAACCTTGAAAATTTCTGCTATGGTCTGAATATTGGTATCCCCCCAAAGTTTGTACTTTGGAACCTAATACCTAAGGTATTAAGAGTAGAGTCAAGTTGAGTATCGTGGTACATGCCTGTAACCCCAGTACTCAGGAGGCTAAAGCAGGATCACCTCAAGTTTGAGCCCAACCTGGGCTCCATAGTGGGTTTAACCTCAGCCTAAACTACATAGTGAGACCCTGTCTCAAAAAAAAAAAAAAAAAAAAAAGAAAGGCACCTCAGGAATAGGATCCATTACTTCTAAAGTTGAAGGGAAATCCCTTGCCCCTTTTGCCTTACGAAGCCACAGCATAAGGCACCATCTTTGAAGCAGAGTGTGGTGATTAACTGATGGGCAACTTGGAACACTCAGCTGAACTGAATCAGCATGGGGATAGGTGTGGAAGACCCAGCAGAGGATTGTTGCCAACAACATAAAAAAGAACTAGAAGGAAAGGTGGTATGCTGTTTATCCTTCTGGAAAAGCTTGTCATGCTGGTTTTCCTCATATGAACTCAGCTCTTCTCATCATCAGAGGAGCTCAGGTGCTTGCTGTCACTGAGGCTGGATGCTGTTCTCTTTGGGGGAGCTCTGGTCCTTACCTTGAATGTCACTTGCTAGCTCCAGTGCAGATCCTTCACCTAACTGGCTCAGACTTTCTAGCTTCCACCACTGATTTTGTGCCTTTCCAGAGAAGATCCTTGTGTCCCTCATTGTCGTGGACTCTGGGCCTCCAGTTAGACTCATGGTAGCATTGCCATGGGCTCTTGGTCCTCAACTGGACTCCTTCAGGACATTGCCATGGGATCCAGGCCCTCAGCTGAATTCTTCGGATCTCTGGTGTGTGGACAGATATCCTGGACTCTTCTGCATTTGACTTTTTGAGTGACTATTATAAAATAATTCTATAAATTATGTGTCCTATATTAAATCTTTTCCCTTGTAAACCTTGAATACAACACACAAAACAAGCATTCACCAGATACTAAATCTATTAGTAATTTAATCTTCAATTTTATAGTTTCTAAAATTGTGAGCAGTGAATTTCTGTTGTTTCTGTTTGGTTGGTTCATTGGTTGGTTGGTTTAGTTTTTTTCAGATGGTGTCTTGTTTTGTAGTTCAGGCTGGCATTGAATTCACTATGTTCAGGATGACCTCAAGATCATAATGATCCTCCTGCCTCAGACTCCTGAGTGCCAGAATTACGTCTGTGCGCCACCATATGCAGTTTTGTGGTGGAGTTCCTGGGTGCTGAACCCAGGGTCATCACACTGAGCTATATCCTAGCCTATGTGTTTATCTGTCTTTCTCTTTCTTTCTTCCTTCCTTCCTTTCTTTTTTTAAAACAGAGACTGGCTCTAAGTCACTAAATTGTCCAAAATGGGGCTTATATTTGGGATGCTTCTATCTCAGCCTCCCAGAGTGCTTGGATTATAGGCATGTGCCACCATGCCCAGCTCTGTTGTTTATAAATTACCCAGACTGAAGTATTTTTTAATAGCAGTCCCAGTGGAGTAAAAATCCCTGGCTGAGATACTGTCCCTGAGCTCAAGACTCCTCAGATTCAGTGTGTAAGTTTGGTACTAAATAGACAATGGCCTCAGGAAATATAAGGTGGGATGTTTGAAACCCAGGGAGATGAGTGTATGGGAGGGTCTCTATCTCCCTGTATTGTTCCTGGAATTGAGAAAAATTGTTTAAATTTTTATTTTAAATCTAAACAATGAAAACTGTCTCTCCCTTACAGCTCTAATGGATGATTTCTGGATTTCCTCTTCTACTCCCCAAAAGCAATAGCTTGGAAGTAAAGAGCCTGAGGAATAATCTTTAAGATAGCCACCATCACTCAAACCAAAAGGAACCACAGTATCCACCCCAGAACCCTGCTAGGCAGAGATTTATATGATCATTTTGGCCTTCCTCAACAAGCAGAATGTGTTGAGCCAATCATTTCTCCTCTGACCAGCCTTTCTCAATTAATCTCTCATAAGTTGAGCACTCTGTTGTGTGGACACATTCCCAACATCAGGAGCTGGCTTCCTGCTCTCTCTGAATAGGCCTAGAATGTCAATGTCAAGGGAGCAGGAGCCCTAGCTATTTGTCCCACCACTATTATCCTGCCTCCCCTTCTCTTCTCACCCAGTTCTTACTCTTTACCTCAAATCCTCCTGCCAGGACTCAAGACGTGTCATTCACTAGAACATGCACCCTTGGCTGGAGTCTTACCCTCCAAGAGCTCAGAGTAAAATGAGAGATATCAAAATATAAAATACTAAGACAGCCAGGCAAGTGACATTTTACAGAAATAGCCTGAAGAATAATCCCACCTAGTTCATAGTACTGCTTTCAAAGTCCCTTTTATTAAAGGCTGCTCACATTTCATCAGCTGTTTGCTCCAGGTACCCCTGTGAAGCAGGTAGGGCAGATTTTTGTATTTTTACCAGTACCAGAGATCGAATGCACGACCACAGGCTTGCAAGGCAGGCACTTATGCCGCTGAGCTAAATCCCCAGCCCCTGATAGGGCAGATTTTGTCTCATCTACACAGAAAAACATTAAACATT